ACGCACACTCTAACTTTACGTACCATTTTCCTGAAATCGACTGATGATGGCTAGTAATCATTGCGTATGAGATAATAAACTTTCGTATATGTAAGTATATAAATTTTAATATTAAGTATACTGTGCAATTGAAAAAAATGTATGCCCTCTATAAACAAAATCATATCATTGGAATATGATGGAGGTAATGTATCATTATTATAATGATATAATAAGTAAGATTACATTTTATTATTTTTAATTTGTAATATATAAAGGAATGTTAATATTATAAATTGTGTGATTGAATTACACAATCAATTAATAATTGTTAATGGAATAATAGTTAAAACGACGCAATTTCACATCCTAACCATACATACACATGTGAAAAATACGTCGTGCACGATATACTAACGCATCATCAGTCGCTGAGAAATTTTTATGAACTTATGAACTAGGGTCATCATGCCCATTGCCTCTCTCTCACCCAAGTAGCACCTGGGCACGTGAGTGAGTTCCTGGCAATGAACACGGAAAGGGTTAAATCTGAAAATCCTGAGCTAAAAAGATAGATTAGTATAAATATTTAACGGGCTAATGATTTTATATATATCATATTTCAAATTTTAATGAATCTACTTTACTTTTACTTTACTTTTTATCAATATAATAAATTATTGAAATTTTAATATTCTATTTTAATATTTTATTTTAATATAAATTTTAATATTCTAAAATTATTAATCAAATAGGAATGTATTATTTAAAAAATGATTGAAATGTAATAATAATTAAAATTTAATAATTGAAAGTTAAATATCAATGAAAATACCCTCAGACGATTCCTTCATCAAAGCATATTTTTTAAAATACAAAATAAATACTCAAAACTTATAGCTTTGATTTCAAAATCTATCTGTCGCGAAGTGTCTTCTTGTACATAATATTTGATATATTTTCAAATAAAAAAAATAAAATTATTATCTTTATTATCTTGAAAATCAAGAAAAATGATTTATTATTATCGTATTATTTTATTTTAATATTTTTTTAGATATTTGATGTTTGCAAATATTAAATAAAGTTTAATAGATAATTGTAATAATTTAATTTTAGAATTAATTGTTTTAGAAAATTATTAATATTTAAAAACGCGATGTACAAGAAGACCTAGCCTAAACTAATAAATAAAATACAAAAGAAAATGTTACTATTCACGGATAATAAATATCCGCGGTCACTGTGTTCGTGCAAAATTCTACGTATACAACCAGTTTTACCCGTGTCGATTTGGATCTTTCATCCTACGACATGATTGAGTAACCAGAGGAAACAAAATGCATGCGACTCACCATTGATGCGAAGAATCTGCATTGCCATCGATGTTCACCCATGGGAAGTCCTCATCAAGAAACTATCAAAAAATAAAATATAATTTAAAACATACATAATTACTTTAAAAAATTGGAACTTTAATTTAATAAAAAGATATATGAAGGTAGTTACCTCTTCACGTGATGGATGATCGCCTTATAATCTTGAATCACTGACTCTAATATGTATCCGAAACGAATATTTAAAAAAAAATAAAAAAAAATAAAAAAAAATTTTTAATGCGACCGTTCAAATTACAATCGGCGAACAAACACTGGCTCTAATTTCGCGAATAATTATTATTATTATAATTAATTTCAATTAGAGCAGCTGTGCTCTAAAAAATATTTAAAATACTATTACGAAGAAAACACTGACTCTACCAACCGCATTGCGCGCGGTTACAAATATTTGTTAAGATTTAAGTCCAAGAAAAAACGGCAAAACCATCAGCATCTTAAAAAAATGTAAAATATCATAATACATTCATAATATTTTTTTTAAAAATTAAAAATTTAATTAATAAAAATTATTATAGAAATAATTACCTCTTCGAGTGATGGATGATCGCCTTATTCTCTTGATTCACTGACTCTAAATATATATCCGAATATATAACGAATATTTAAAAAAGAAAAAAAAATAAAATATAAGACTATTGACGCGCCCGTTTAAATTTCAATCGACGAACAAACACTGGCTCTAATTTCGCGAATAATTATTATTATTATAATTAATTTCAATTAGAG